CATAAACGGCAAAAACGCTTAATTGAGGGCCTAAACGATGGAATTTGCCCAAAATTTGACGTGCATCAGGGCCAAAGGCCCTGAGTTGTGATCATTGGCCCGTTTTCAATCAAATTAGACTAGCAATTCGCCAAAAACGAACAAACCCGAAATTAAATAAAATTATTATTTTGCCTTCATCATACTCAAAATTGCATGAAAGAGAGACTGGATTACTTTTTTTATAAGAAACAAGGTACTTTTATTAAATGATATACAAATGCCACATATCCTCTAAATATTAGAAATAAAAATTCACACCGGTTAAAAATATGGTCACATCCAACCACATAACTTCTATTTCAACTGGTTATAATCAAAATATACTTTTAGAAAAAGTTTCCCAAACTGGCTATACCTCATATAAAGAACTTAGTTTTACCTCGACACATAAGTTTTACCTTCAACCATGAGTTCATACTCTATTTACCAAGAGAGCATAGTGCAGCTCAAACTATTTTTTGTAATTAAACTGATACATCAAGAAGTCCAGTAATTCAACTCTGAAAGTAGACAACCATACATGAGTGCAAGTTTCATAGGAGACCTTGATCTGACAAAGATAGCTGATACCATCCTCATGATAATTGATAAAAAACGACGTCAATTTGAATTTATTTCAGTACGCATTTCAGCTATAAGCAAGGGCGGGATAGCTCTTAGAAATATATATGCATAGTGTAATTTTCATGTTGATCAAGTACTTATTCTACGATGCTCAATCAGTACATACAAATCACAATTCTTGTTCTTTCTCGAACAACGTGCAAAAGAAAAATGGTTTCATTGAAAAGCTCTTAGTAAGGATTTGTAATTCTAAAACTTTTTTGCGAACTTTTGTGTAATTCTAAAACTTTTTTGCAAACTTTTGGCACCTTTTATTAAAACAATCAAAAAATCCCGAATCCCAAATTCACATAATTGGCATAGTATTTCTTCGAACCAAACATTAACAATTATCCAAGGGTCATGTTCTTTCCACATTTCCACAAATTATCAACTAATATAAACAAAGCCAATAACTCAACTCCAGAAAATTATTAAAACCCAACAAAATAATATATAACTAAATACACAAAAATAAAAAGAATTCGAATAATAACGCTGACTTACTGCTGGAGACTATTTTGCATTGAGAGGGCAAAGAAATGGGGTTCCAAATCCACATATTCCCATCCAAAACAGCTAGCTGAAGCAGGAAAAATGATAGTAACAACAAGGAAAAGAGGCAAAAGGCAAGGGCAAAACAAGAACGCATAATTATGTAAAAAAGACTAATGTTAACGTTCTTCTTCTGCTCTTCTTCTGGGAAATCCATGAGGATTTGTAAATGGGGACGTCCGGAAGGGTATGATTATTGTTTCCTTCCGCGAACCCAACTCACCGTAGATTTTATCCGGTGATCGGCGTTTTGAGGGAGACAAGGAATGGTATTTGGATATTTATTTACGTTCTGTGTGTGATTTATAAGAATTTCAAGACTGAAAATTTGTAGCTACTCTTTCAATAAGCCAGTGAGTCAAACGAGAGACCCGCAAAAGACAAGCAGATTACTTGTATTTTGTTTTTGCTTTATTAAAAATTAGATTGGGGACTGAGTATGAAAATAAATTTAAATACAGACCTAAATGATACATTTTTAATGTATTGGGGACCATATCTGTTATTTTCCCATTTTTGTTAATTACTTTCTTCAGCCGAAAAGAGGGAAGTGGAACCATTATCCCGCCTTTCTGTTTCCTAGGGTTTTCAAAACCCTTTTCACGTTTCATTTTTCCCTCCAACTACTCTCCATTTTATCCCCTTTCATCTTTCCCAAATCAAACAAACAATCGATTCACAATCCAAAAACCCTAATCGTTTCACTCAAGAAATGCCTCCAGTCAATTTAACCGAAGGCGCAATTTCGATGCTGGCGAGAGGCGAGGTTCAGGCAACCGAAATAAAGCCCGTGCTGCAAGTGTCCGACATTCGGCTAGTCAATACCCAGAACCAGAATAGCAACAATGAGAGGTATCGGATTCTGTTGTCGGACGGGTCGTTTCTCCAGCAGGCAATGCTGGCGACCCAGAAGAACGAATTGGTCCAAACGGATAAATTGCTGAAGGGATCTATTGTTCAGTTGACGGAGTTCGTCTGTAATGTCATCCAGACACGAATGTGAGTTTGCGAAATTATGCTACCTATTATTGGTTGTTTGATTGTTGTTGTTGTTTGTCTGATTGAGTCTTGTGCGATTATCTGGATGAAATTGATTTTTTTTTTTTAACTTATTTCTCATTTGTTTAGACAGAAATGATAATTTTTTTCAGAAATTCATGTAAATTAATTTGGAAGAACACCCTGATTCTTAGAAATTTGAAATCCTGATGGTAATCTGACTATTGTCTAGTGTATTCTTGTAAGTCAAGTGTGAAGTAGTTATGGGTTCAGGAGTTTTAGTCATGTTGGCAGGAATTGGGTGGAAAATTATAAGTCCTAGGAAATCATAATTTGTAGATGTTTCTAAACTATATTGCCTTTTAAACTCATCATTTGGTTGGTAGTAGAAACCAATGACTAGATAGATTATACTTGTCTTAAACATTGTATCTTTAGGTTATTTGACTCGATTTTATTGATCCAAAAAACAAAGAAAATTGCATCAAATTTCAAGAGAATTTGCTGCAATCAAAACAAAGGGTCCTTTTGTGTGTGTGTGTGTGTGTAATGGACAAAATTAATATATATATTCCAAAATCAATTCTTTACATGTCTGGGAAATAATAGACTTTGTATATGTTTTTCTTTCTTCCTCCTTTTTCTTTACCTATTTCACAAGGTTTGTGCTTTATGAATACAAGTAATCCATTATATTAATGCATTTATGTTTGCATGCAAATGTGTTCCTCTTTAGATGCGATATCGTAATTTTTTCATCTTTGACTTTAGAAACAGGTCTCAAAAAGCTGGCCTCTTTCTTCATTCACATGATACTTATGATACCTGCGAATCTGGGCTTTTTGACTCGTGCTTTTAACTAATTTATCTAGTAAAGCAGTATGAACACATTCTTCATTGGAATAACTTGTTCCCTCTTAAAGTGAGAGGACTCTTGGCCTTCAAGTTGAGTAATTTTTGAAGAAGGAATTTACATTATGGTAGTTTTCTCGTTCTATGGTTAGATTTTGCTTCATATTACCCAGTGTGGGATCTACAGTTGTACTGGACTTCCCAGAGCAAGTGAATCTGTTATCGTACTTTCTAGATAGTTTATTCCTTGGACTTTCTCATTGTTTTATATTATATGAACTGTTTTTTTATTAAGTTACTAGTATATTGATCACTTTCTCTTCCAATATTGAGCAGGATTATAATTATTATTAATCTGGATGTGATACTTGAGAAATGTGATACCATTGGCGAACCGAAGCATTACGGGCCACTGCCACTTAAAACTGATGGGGAGGGCATCTCTATACCCAGATCGTCAGCCTCAGTTCAGCCAATGAATCAGCCAGCTAATGCAACTGTTACTCAATCTTATGTTGCTGGTTCAGCTCCTAGGCCTAACATAGTTGGTGGAATACCAACTTCTGAAATTGACAGAAGTGCGGGCTCACACTCCTATGCCAGCAATACTGATGCAGGAAAATATAATTCAATTATTGCGCCTCCGACCTATTCCAGGACAGAGTCTGGTTATGGGATTTCACGGGCTCCTGCAACTAGTTATGTACGCCCACCTCAGTCATTCTACCAGCAGCCATCTCCAATGTTTGCTAATAGAGGACCTATAGCAAAAAATGAAGCTCCTCCAAGGATTATTCCTATTGCTGCACTAAATCCATATCAAGGCAGGTGGACTATTAAGGCTAGGGTGACAGCAAAGGGAGAACTCAGGCACTACAACAATCCTCGAGGTGATGGTAAAGTATTTTCTTTTGATCTTCTCGATTCGGATGGTGGGGAAATAAGGGTAACCTGCTTTAATGCTGTGGCGGATCAGTTTTACAACCAAATTGAACCTGGTAGAGTTTATATGATCTCAAAGGGAACATTGAAGCCTGCTCAAAAGAATTTCAACCACCTACGCAATGAACATGAAATTTTTCTTGATGGTACTTCAACTGTCGAGCCTTGCTTTGAGGATGATAAATCTATACCGCAGCAGCAATTTCATTTTCGCTCCATCGATGAAATTGAAGGCGTGGAGAACAACAGCGTTGTGGATGTGATTGGGGTAGTTTCATCTATCAGCCCATCCAGCTCAATAATGAGAAAAAATGGCACTGAAACTCAGAAAAGAGCTCTCCAGCTGAAGGACACATCTGGCAGAAGTGTTGAATTAACCTTGTGGGGAAGCTTTTGCAATGCAGAAGGTCAAACACTTCAGAACATGTGCGACTCTGGGGTGTTTCCTGTTTTGGCAATCAAATCTGGTAGAGTGAATGATTTTAATGGAAAAGCGGTAGGAACCATATCTACTAGCCAGCTGTTTATAGAGCCAGATTTTCCAGAGGCCCACAAACTCAAAGTATGGTTTGAAAAGGATGGAAAGCACACACCTTCTGTATCCATCTCCAGGGAAACAACGAGCATGGTCCGGACAGATGTGAGGAAAACTATAACTCAGATTAAGGACGAAAGATTAGGGACTTCTGAGAAGCCTGATTGGATTACAGTGTCTGCCACTCTTTCATTTATAAAAGTGGACAACTTTTGCTACACTGCATGTCCCATCATGAATGGGGATCGCCAGTGCAACAAAAAGGTTACGAATAATGGCGATGGGAAATGGCGTTGTGATAAATGTGATCAGTTGGTTGATGAATGTGATTATAGGTATATACTCCAGCTCCAGATTCAGGATCACACTGGCTTAACATGGGTGACTGCTTTTCAGGAATGTGGGGAGGAGATAATGGGTATATCGGCAAAAGATTTGTATTACTTGAAGTATGAAGAACAAGACGATGAGAAATTCGCCGAAGTCATGCGTAGTGTTCTTTTTACAAAATACATTTTCAAGTTGAAAGTGAAGGAGGAGACCTTTAGCGATGAACAGCGTGTAAAGTCAACTGTAGTCAAAGCAGAGAAAGTAAATTTCCAAACTGAGACCAGGTATCTTCTGGACTCAATTGCTAAGTTCAAAGGAGAGGACTCTGGTTTTCTACCTCTGAAGAGTGAAAATGTTGGTCCAACCTCTGGAATGAATAGCAATGGTTTTGGTACTGGATATAGGGAACCCACTGCATCTACTATAAATTACAGTGGAAATACTAGCAACTTGGCTAGAGAAACTGGTGTATCACCAAATATGGCGCGTTCATATTCTAATCAGTATGGTAGTTCCACTCTTGCTTCATCTGGCCTGACTGGCATTTATACGAGTTGTAATAGCTGTGGTGGTACGGGTCATAGTTCTGCGAATTGTCCAAATGTTATGACTGGCCAGGGACAATCTTATGGAAGTAGCTATGGCAATAGGGAAACTCTTGGGGCAAGTGCTGGTGGTGAGTGCTTTAAATGCCATCAAATTGGACACTGGGCGAAAGATTGTCCCGGCTTGAGCAATGCTCCTCCAGCTTATGGAAGCAGTAACCCAACTCCTGGGGCAAGTGCTGGTGGCGAGTGCTTTAAATGCCATCAAATTGGGCACTGGGCGAAAGATTGTCCCGGCCTGAGCAACGCTCCTCCAGCTTATGGCAGCAATAACTCGATTCCTGGACGATATGGTAATGTACCAAAGCAACATGTTGGTGGGTTCTAAATCTTGACTTCTGAATGGAAGTGGCCGATTGCACCTGTACACAATGGATTGTCTGAAGGCCACCGGCCAAGTTTTGCTATGGGGGAGACACCCCCTGTTTGTGGGTTTGCTATGCCATGATTTTGTACTTCCGTGTCTTAAGAATTGTGCTTGGCGTGTAGCAACGCAGTGGTGTTTGTACTTGCAAAGATAAGAACATGGGTATGGCTTTAGAATAATTAGTATCTGACTTTTGAAAACATTTTACTGAACATGTTTTCTGTAAATTATTCTCTTTATTTGAGGTTTTTGAATCTTTGGGACGACCCAGCCGTTGCAATTTTCTGGTGTTAAACCTTATTTATGGTGAAGTTTAGTTTTCACATAAGTTGTAGGATTTGGTTAATAGTTAAACTGGTTATAATGCGGACGCTGCAGTTTGACTGCCTCTATGAAATGATTTACTGTCTCAGTAAAATGGATCATGGTGACAATCCAATACATAAATTACTCATTTTGGAAGTAACAAATAAATTTTACTTTTCTTTTTTCACTTTAAAGTAACCAAAAGTGACCCGTCTAAAATTTGCTATTAAACATCAAGGTTGTTAAACATGGTGGATCCATGTATTGTTATTAACTTCCCAAGATTTTATTCTCGCTCTTGCAACATAAGCATTCATTTATTCACACATCCTACCCACATGGGAATTTCAGAAACACACACTAATAGGTGTAGATTGTGGGTGTCCTGTTATTGTCGGTCCAAGTGGCTGTTGAACTGAACGAGCAGTATATTATTTGGATATTATTTTCAGTCTAATTTAGGGGAAGTATTAAAAGGGAAAAGTAAAAAATATTAAAAGAAAAAAGAGGGAGACGCCAAAAGGCCAAAAATAAATTTTTTTTTTTTTTGTGTGGGGGAAAAATATATTACTAGTAGACTCTAACAATCTTACAATTTCAAAAATCAAGTGGTAAATGAAATATGAGAAAAATTTATGGATCAGACATTTACTTTACCAAAATCAAAATTCAGGTCCCAGAGTTAAAAAGTGCAAAAATCGGGTTTTTTTTGAATTAATTAATTTTATTTCACAATTATTATATTAAATTAAATATTTAACTGTAATATAATATAATTAACCCCATCCCACCCCACCTCCACCTCTACCTCCACCTCCCCCATTGCTCCGGCGACTATTCCGACGACTACTCCGGCGATTGTTCTCCGACCGTCATTAATTCCGACAACAACTCCGGTGACTGTTCTGCCGCCGCTTAATTCCGACGACTGCTCCGATTCCGACAATTATTAAGGTCACAGTTATATACAATTTGGTCACGGATTATTTCGAAGTCACAGATCAAAACTAATAAAAAAAAAATCATAGGTCACAGGTTATATTTTAAGGTCACAGATTGAAAAAATCAAAAATTTTACGGGTCACATCTCTATTTCAGTGAGTCACAGTCACAAATCCGAGGTCACAGACACCCACTTAGGTCACGGGTTGAAAAAAATTATAACTTTTACATGTCACGACTCTGTTTCAAAGTAAGTCACAGACGTCCACCTAGGTCACAGACACAAAAAAA